CTTTAAACAGGAGTGGATGTTATCACTTCAAATGTGCTTATATGTGTTTCCTGTGCTTAGATATAGCCCAGCAATAACAATACCACAATTACCAGAATGTATAATCTATAATGTGGCCCTGTGTAAATCAACACACAGCTGAAGGCGTCGCACACATCCTGCAGGATACCACTGCCACTCTGAATTGTTTCCGGTTAACGCTGTGCATCTGCAGGATGATTTCGGAGCCCTGCTCAGGCTGACTCCGAACTTACAATACTGGAAGTTACCTCCTTCTAGTAAGATCTAGGTATAGACACTGAGCTGAAGCATGTTTTGTTCATGATTGCCTAAATGGGAAACCAGAAAACCAGATTTAGAGGAAAACCAGTTTTTGATATTTTAAAAATATTTACGGGATTTCCAGAAAGGGTGCAAAAGTCATTATAAATATTGCAAGGGAAAGTGTTTTGGATCTCAATTCAGTTGTTAAGTTACTAAAATAATGCATACCTGGGGTTTACATAAAGTGGAGACTTAAATGTATGATCTCAGATGCTCTGCCATTCCCTTCAGAATAGAGCATAATTTCTTCTCTATGTAAAATATCTGAAAAATAAACATTTTTGAAAGCAATTTTACAAAGTCAAACTAAAAATGAAGTCCAAACTAATCCAGAAATATGCCATTTTCATTGCAGCCATACACTCAGAACAATCTTACAGGAATACTCTGACAATGTCTCTGTTGTGATTCAGTTAGTCCAAACTAACTGGATAGACTCAGAAATTAAATCTAGTTGACCTGTTCAGTGACTTTATATTTTTAGTTAGTTCTCTGATTCTGACTTTTCCAAACAGATGTTTAAAACAACACAAAGTTTTAAAATACTGTAAAGCACTTTAAGATAAAATCTATAGATCTGATCCTTAAAAAAAAAAAAAAGAGGTGTCAGATGTGTTATTTGACAACTTTTAGAACTGGACTAAATAAGAACTGGATTCTAACTCTCATTCTGCATTATAACTGGGGGACAAACCATCTTTCCTGAGTATATGTAATTTCCATTGAGTCTCTTACAACCCACTAGAATTTTAGTATGTTTTAAAATAATAATATAGCAATATGGAGAAACATATTATGCAAACACTGTTATTCTTCTTGTTCTGATACAGGTCTACCATACCAAAGAGAGATTCTAGCTGGAAGAAACAATCGGTGCAGTGCTTGCCTGAAAGGTATTTCAAATTATCCCTTTTTCTTCCTGCTTTTGGTACAAAATAATGTGATGAATAAACGACTTAATTTATGCATTGGAGAAGCTCACAGAGGGTATATCTTGTCTTAACACGCATACCTGTATTGCAGAGGTCACTGAGGGGAGCAGGGCAGGTGTGCAAGAAGCAACCACGGCCTTGTGGCCAAGGGTAGCTGAAGAACTAACACACACATTCAGGGAGAAATGACCAAGGCCTTCTGCACTTCAGCTCTTCAGGGACATACAGGCCTGCTATAAAACAGTGCAGTCATTTAGACCCATTCAAACAAATTTTTCCTGTAAGTTTTACTGCCTTTTCTGTATTGGGTGGTACATTTCACATCTTATGTTCCCTGTTATCGCCTTTTACTTTTTCTAGTCTGATCTTGTATTGAAAGATGCTCATAAACTTGATCACTTGTGCTGAACACAGTTTGGGATGGCTGCCTTTTTAACTATGATTGAAGGAAAAATACTACTGAATTCACCTGTATACATTAACCCAGCTGCTCTCACAGCAGGGCCCTCTGTAAGCACTTCATACCCCTTTGGAATTAAGTCAACTGTACATTATCATGACAGGGAGCTTGGCTATACCTTGCTGTAGAAAAACTTGGAAAATTAGGGTCTGATGTGCCACAGCCACACCAGGGTAAGTGCACGGAAGCTGAAGTTGCAGATGAACTATTCTGCTTGTCAGGATTTGGGCTGACTCCTGGGGTATTGCTGAAGTGATCTACATATATATAGGACACATCCATGGGGCACAGCATGGATAACCCTGCCTGAACACACACAGCTCTTCATCAGTCTGTCTGCTTAACCCTGAGCTGTCTTTTCATTTTTGTACATGATCTGGGATGGACACAGGTCTGTGGGTGCTGCTCCCACTCAGCAGGCAGACACAGAAAGGGTTTAAAATAAAAACTTGCAAACCTGTGATACTATGCTTATGAAAAAATTATTAATTCTTTAAAGGTGCAGATACTTTAGTTAGTTGCAAAAAGCAGGTAGAATTAGCAAATCATATTTGTCTTATTTATTGCTAACTTCTTAGCTGTGGCACCACCTTGTGGACGGTACTACACGGAGTGAGAACAAATGGCAACGAAAACAACTAAAACAGGCATTGTGGAAAAACAACTACAGTCACACATGATTTGCTAAAGCAGAGTAAAACAACAAAATAAATTATTTCTAAAAATCCACTTATGAAATAAAATGTATAATAAATACTGTCATCAGGGTACTCAGTTGTCTTTGCAGCTTTTACCAACTCTTCTGCACAAGCCAAGAAAAGTGGCAGCCTTCAAAACTAATTTTGTTCCTTCTCAATTGACTAACCAGCAGCGTCTGAACCCCAGTTCTGTTGTTGCTGTATAAGCAGACATGACTTTTGCAACTATCCCAAGCAACGAGATCTGCAAAGTCAGAATCATAATGCTGAACACATGGAGAAAACCTCAGGTCCTGCTCCATAAATGTAAACTCAACAGTGAGATTGGTGTCTAAGCTAAGCCAAAAGAAAAATAATCTCTGACAAAGATAAACTAGTGGGTCTTTCAAATGCTCACTGAAATACAAACCAAACAAAAATAAATTTAAATTCCAGTCTGTTGGTCATTAGATTCCCAGAACCTTTCACAGTTGAGGTAACAGGGTGTTCCTGTTATGAACACTCTATCTACTGTACATCTAAAAAGATGAAACAGCTTATGCTACTAAATTTTTTTCCCTTGGGATATTCATACAGTAAATATTACTGTTATTTTACTTTTTGTACTCAGTAATAGCCTACTATAAGTGCACTGTTAGGAAAAAATACAGGGCTTTCAAACTCTTAGTGATTATTCTTATAGATTGGCTGTTGTTTTCAATTTAATTTAATTATTTATTTCTGAAAAAACAAGGCATTGGCTACTCCTTATTCACACTGAGTGCAGAGATTCTCTTTCTCCTTAGACATCATCAATGTAATTCTATTCCCCATTGCAATCAGATGCATAGTGCAGACTTATTAATGGCCTTAGATGTATCTGGATGGAAGTTTTCATCCAGAAAATTGCAGGAGCAGTTACTGTAAACACAGGGTGAGTGACACAGAAGAGACTGAACTAAGTCTATTCTTATATTGAACTCAGTTTATAAAAGTATCTTATTTCTTATTTTTTTGAGCACATGTAGATGTTATTTTTGTGCCCATCACATTCAGCTGATTTGCTTTTAGGAAAGAAGCTAATAAGCTGTGAGGCAAAAATAGCTTTATATCTCCATAATGGTATTTTCTCCAGAGACTTGGAACTCCCTTGAATATTTTAATTATCTCTTTCCTAAAAGTCAACAGAGTAGCATGGCACTATATTAAAATAATTTTCTTTGGGTTTCTGCAAGAACTGATTTCTTGCTGAATTAGCATATCAACCAGGAAACCAATTTCCCCAGCATCAGTGACCTTATGTCACTTTATGTATTACAGAAGTGAGAGAAGCGGTTTCAGAGGGCTGCAACAGTTAAAAATTATTCCCTATAAATCCACTTATTGAACTGACACATGCAGGAGGCAAACCCCTGAAATTATGTTGCTAATCTACATGGTTTAGAGGCAGATTTCTGCATTTTCAAATGTTGCACCCACTGACACAGAACTGTGGTGAGTATTAATAGAAAATGGGATGGAACAGGCAGAAATTTGGTCAGGCAGGAGAAAATCCTGTGAGGGAGAGAATGAGTGAAAAAGCAGCCAGAACCCCCAGGGTAAGACCACGGGGTACACAGCCCTTGTGGGGGGGAACAGAGGGGGCTCCTACCACAGGGAGAAGTGGAGAAAGGGATCAAACCTTACACATGAAAGTTTCAGGGGGTCCTTTAACAAGAGGAGAATTCTGAGGTGACATTCAGAAAGTCTGCAAAAAGGGATGGATAAACCTGGCCTCCTCAAGCCCAAATGCAGAACCAATCTGGTCTACAGAAAAACAAAGTGCACAAGTCTCTAGCTATCAAAAGACAAGGTAATATTATTATGTTATTTAATACTTTTTTTTCGGGGAATGAAAGTTGCATAAGCTTCTATGCTTATTAGACATTAGATTTAATTTCCCTGAGAAATGGGTGACTTGGAGCTAAGTCAGGCTTTGATAGATGAAATAGGTTATACATTTATAAAAGGAGAACAGTACAAGTAGGAACTGCTGCTAGAGGTGTCAATTTAAAGTAATACTGTCCCCACCAACCCCCCAGTCCCACGCAGAGACTATAGAGGAGCCTGAATCAGAGGAGATATGCTGTTAAAGTATTAAGTCAAGGAAAAGTGGTGGCAGAAGACAGCAGCTTATGACTAAGTGTATTTGACCTTCATGTGTTATTTTTGTCTGAAGTCTTAATTTTGTGGTTTTGGGATGGGCTCATCCACAGCAAAATTTGACATCTTCTAATAATTATCAGAGGTGCTATTTATACATTTATGTCTTGGTCTGTCAGTCTCAATGTGACTCCATGTATTGATAAAGAAACAGGTTATTTACTTACTGTTTCACTTGCTGAAGTGCAAACCCAAAATCAAATCAAATGCTTTATAATCTATTTATCTCCTAATTCCTTGTGCAACATTTCTCATTTTCTTGTTTTCCAGTTTGCTTTCCTTTTTATTCTTAGAGGCAACATGAAAGACAAAGAGTTTTCAAAAAGAGGAGGATCTGGGAATTCTCAAAACTGCAAGTTAGTTTGTTGGCATTTTCATGATGAAAAACCACAGGTGAATCTTCTTACATTATCTTTGCCTTTCCACATAAATCTTGTTGTTTTAAAACTATGAAAGTCTTTTTTGAATTTAATCTTTGTTCTTATTCTGAAGGTGCTGTAAGAATAGTTAAAAACTAGAATATGCAATGCAACACATATTTTGATTTTACCTTGCTCAAATTATGATATTCTCAACTCCTTGAGCTTATTACTGAATATGTCAAAATACATTTTAATTTATTAATATCAGTACTAGTAAGGAAAGAAATTGTGGAACAAATCAACAAATAAATTCTGCACCATAAAGCTCCAAATATTAATTTCTAGAGTAAAGTATGTGATAAGATTTTACAGAGCAAGATAAACTAAAATATGCGTGCTCAGATAGAGAGAGGTTGTTACCATCTGCAGTCCAGCTGAAGTAAGAGAACATTATGGGTATTCAGTGTCATTAAGACCCAAGTCATGTCTATATTTGTATTTTTAAGCGAAATATCACTCTGATGAGACATTTGAAATACTTAGCAGCTCTCATTATGCCTTTTCTGGGCCTCAGCCATCTGGATGGATTTCTAGGGTCACAGCCTTTGCTCTCTTTAGGATTCCTAAATAATTGAGTTCCAGCTAAAATGCTGACAAGACATAACCAAACTGCTTCAAATATTCACAGTCTGGAAGCACCTCTGGAGATCATCCAGTCCAAACCAGTCCAACACAAAGCAGAATCACCCAGAGCAGGCTGCTCAGGAGCTCACCCAGTTGAGTTTTGAGTATCTTCAAGGACATCAACTTCAAAACCCCTCAAGGCAGCCACATGACAGGTGCTCCTCTTAATCATCTTCATGGCCCTTTCCTGCCCTCACTCCAGTATGTCCATGTCCTTCCTCTTGTGGGGAGCCCAGAGCTGGGCACAGCACTTCCACTGAAGTCTCACCAGTGCTGAGTAAAGGAGAATAATCACCTCCTTTGATCTCCTGGCAATACTTTTCCTAAAGCAGTCCCGGATGCTGTGGGCCCTCTTTTCCAAGACATATATGTTTACAGATATAACAGAATTTTAAGGACATGACAAGTTTTATATTTCCAGGGTCTGCTATCTATCAGGGCAATACAAACTATATTACTCTGCTAATACATGCTTTTATGTTAGTATCAGGGATTGTATTTAAGTTCTCATTACATGCTTTTCCTAAATAACTGGTCCATTAAAACCAGTTGTTTGGGATGACTACATAGTGCCTTGTAAAAACATCTGTGCACAGATTGCTAAAGGTAACACTGAAAACTAAGTGCAGATCAGGGCATCTTTGTAGGAATGAAGGCATCCTGGAAAACTGCAATTCTACAGAATAGGAATTCTCAATTTCATCATGTTGTTAGTGTTAGGATCTAAAGATAGCAGATTAATTACTATTATGTTTAACTCATAGATAACCTTTTGTAGCAGTAACATCCAGCTCATAAACTTCCACAGTTTCCAAAGACGCTCCACACTATATCAGAAGCCAAAAATCCAGTTCTCCCTAATGTATTCCTGAGAACCTTCCACTTCCTCTGCAGCTGCCACAGTGTAACTGTGGACAATCCACTTACGCATTGACGATACACAAATTTTCTATGGAGAAAAGTCCATAGATTTTCCAGTGGGTCCTCAGGCAGCCTAAAGAAATGAGACTTCTATTAGATTTGTTGTTTGTCTTGGCAAGGAAGAGAGCAACCTTGTTCTTGAAAAATCTACATTTAGTTCCCCATCTATAAACAATTTTCATCAGTTCTTCCATCTGCAGTATAAGTCTTTGTTTGGCAAACAATTGCAGTGTTTCTTGTTATACATGTCAAATTGTTTCTGTTCTGCATGAGCTATGATGACTTAAAAGACGAAAGTTTCATGTGGTGGAAGGAGTTTGTTCCCTCTGAATCCAGTAGTGCCTTTATTGCCCTGGTTGGCCCATTATTTCTTTGCATTTCTCATAGTCTGTGGCTGCAGAAAACAGGAACAATTAGGTGAAGCAAAACTCCTTGCCATTAGTGACATACCAGTACACGAGCCAATACACAGTCTAGCTAACGTCCTTTCACCTTCTGGAACAGTTTAAAGCAGGATGCAAAATATTCTTCCAAAAATATACAAAGTAATTTCCATCCATTTTCCTATAAAGCTATGCCAAAACCCTGGGAAAGCCTTTTGACTCCAGCCTACATGCTCAAAAGAAAACTTAGGAGACTGGCAAAAACCCACAATATAATTAGGACAATGCTGGGACTCAGATTAACATTATGAAAAGCAAACACCTTTCATACCACTCCCAGTTCTCACATATCCGTGCTGAAGTGACATTAAAATTCAGATGCAAGGAAGTAGAGTAGCTCTTCCCAAAACAACACTAGATTGGCCCAGGTGGCCACAACCTGCACGATTTTTCATAGACTGACTTTCCAAACTGCCTCATAGCTGCCTCTTGGTCTCAGAGATGTTGAATATCTTTCTCAGCTTTTTCCAATGCAGACCAGATGTTCTATTGTGATAATTCTCTCATGGGCCTTTTCCATTTTGACTCTCCATCAGCTAGGGATCCAAAGAGACATTACTTGAAAAACAGGAACCATAAAAGAGCCAGGAACTTATAAATTAAAACATAAACATTAATTTGTTTTCCAAAATACAGATGTCTTTTGTCAGTTCAAGCCTTGATCTCTCCACCAGTTAAAGGCAGCAGTTGTTCTGTGGAGGCATGCACTGGAAATTAGCCAACGGGCATTAACTTTTGGTTCTGATAGAACTGAGGAAAATTTGAAACAGAAACACAGAATTAAAAGTTGTGATAGTAATTACTGTCTGATAACATTTTAAAATGCTCATGACGTTAATACCAGAAAAAGTGTCTTACCATAAGGAACTGTAAATTACTGAAGCTTTTGGACAAGACTCGGAAGAGTCTGGGGTTGTCTTTGATGATGGCAGAGGCCTTTCCTTCTCCTCACCTCACTGATCTGTTAAGGCTCAAGGACAGGGATCCATCCCTGGGGAAGTGGATCCTATGCTGGTGACCAATGCAGTGGGATTACATCAATGTGGCACCACCACAGCTCCAGAGGAAGGGACTGGGCTGGAAGAGGAAGGGACACAAAGCAGACACAGCTTTAAAAGAACACTTTCATACATTACAAACACAAGTGCTCAAGGTTCATCTGCATATATTTTGTAATTACATAACACATCAAGCCTTGTTTTCAAAAGGCCACTGAAAATTCATCTTTTTTAATGCTAAATCACTTGATATATCAGTATTATTACTATATCTTTTAGCATTTTTATATCAATAAAAATTTAATATGAGAATATTTAAAATAGCAGAAAGGCTAGAGACAAAAAAAGAAAACACCTTGAAAATGTGCATAACAAGGAGATAAGGATTAAAAGTTACTTTCTTTTTTTAACATGACCTACTTGTGCACTAATTTTTTATCTTTAAAAAGTAGCAATTCACAAGTCACACCTCTTCATTCCCTTTCAAATCAATTTTATACACCTACACAATTCTTCTGACAGTGGATTACTGCAGGTGTACACTTAAATTTGGAGTTTCCAGTCCTGCTGTATTTTCTTGATAAAATCTATTAGTACAAGAGATTCATATTACTCTGCAACTTTCAGCAATTAACTCCTCTCTTTATGATACACTGCAACTGAACATTTTATCCTACATATTAGCTGTACAACAGATTACTCTTCATGATGTGATCAGTCTCCTCTTCATATAGGTATATACAAACAACTATAATTTTTAATACAATCCACTATAAAAAGTATCACTGAATGTTTGCCCTTGTCTTATACTCCTCCAGAGACTTCTGCTTTTACCAACACTGGCTTTTTCTAGAGCTTTCTGCTCAGAATAAGGCAATTGTTTGTCCTTTATACCAAGGCCCGGCCTGTCTCTGTACTACAAGGAACTCACTTGGTGGAGCAGGGATTCTGAGCAATCATTATTCCCTCACTGGAATAAACCCTTGCTTTCCAAAACCATTTTATTACAAGCTTTACATATTCATTTTCTTTTCCCAGGCTACAGCTTCTCCTCTAGATTTCACACCATACTAATATCTGTCTGTTACTCCTATAGTTGAATTGTTTGTGCTTCATTATTTAAGTGCAGGGAATTCTAAGTAGCTGTTCCCACTTCATATGCTCTTCCCTTGAGGGGTGAACTACCCTCTGCTGTTCCCTGTCTCTCAAGGAAGAAACAACTTCCATGGAAAGGAGACGCAAAACTCCTTTCATGGCTACACACTAAAAAAGATTTTGATTTTGACTGCACATGCTCGTCCCAGCAGAATTTGCTCTAAGGTAAAATTTTAGTCTGCTATATTGCAGAAGTTCTAATATTCTCTTCCCTAAGGAGCAGACTGAGGTAAAAGCTGGGAATATGCATTTTTCTCAAAGGTTTTGCCCTAGCTCACACAATTCCTCAAAGATGCCCTTCACCAAAAATGTAGAATTCTATTCCAAAAGAGGCTTTGGATTGCTATGAGAAACAAAAAGAGTCAGTCAGGAACTCCTCAGCATCCACAGAGGTTTCTGTAAATTTTTAATAATATGTTGGTAATATGCATCCATAATTTTATCTGTTAATTTATTAGGAACACTGACTAACAGTGACTAAGTAGTGACTTTTTTTGATCTATATATGTTAAAAGTCAGTAACAGTGACTTTTTTTGATCTATATATGTTAAAAAAGAGTTGTCTTTATAAAATTCCCAGACTATTGAAGGATGAAAATCTAAGTATTTCGATTCAATATGAAGTAAACAGTTATTTTAAACTTGAAGTCTAACGTGGCAGATGTGCATTCACTTCTACAGATAATTTTAAGTAATAAAATCCAGACTATTATTGGTAAGAATTATGAAATTATTTCCTGGCTTTGTCATGTCCAGATCACAAACTTTTGTCTCTTTTTTGATCTCCATGCTTAGTCAGACATCCATTTGTAGGAATAGCAACCTCTGTTCTCCTCCCAACAAAGGGCTGCTACAGCACCCTATTCACACACCTTAATCCTTTTTACTCTCCTCATCCCTTCCAAGTAAGCCACTCCAACCAACATTCCCTGGGTACATTGCCTTCACAGAAGAAGTGGTTGCATTTTCAGCTGGAGGTGTTTCAGCAGGGAGGCACTTCTCCCAACCCTTCCCTAGATGTCGCTACAATTTCTGGCTACTTCATTACAGCCCTAATTACTAAATGGAAAACTATCATATAGGTTCCTGTTTTCTTCATATAGAAGAAACAGAAAACTGTATCTTCAGAGTGACAAAAAGATGTTTAATGTCATACTGAAACTTGAAAACAGCTTTTAACACAGGCTTGTTTTCATACACTTTTTACTTCCCTAACACTCTGCCTACCAAGTACGTTGGCTCATTGAGTCTGGAGCTGCTTGACCTTTTCCATTACTTTGTGCTGGAACAAACTATCTCCTCAAGGATATTTCCAAGGTTTCCAGATTCAGCTTTCATTCATGCTTTGCTATTTTTTTCTCTCTCCACAATTTTTTTCAAAGAATGCCTTTTGCCTTTATATGATTTTGCTACCCAAAGACTCATTTATGCTACACAAATACTATAGGACACAATTCTGTGATTTCAAGGCAGGATTCAGGCTTGTTAGTGTTTTAGCTGAATCATACTGACTTCTGGGGACAATATCCTTGTTTCCATCCCTATTTTTCACCTCTCTGTAATTCATGTTTTGTTCCTGTGAAAACAGCCTTCAAAAAGCATATGCTGATTTCTACTTGTGAGTGAAGTTTCCATATTGTCCAGAAATATGAAGACTCTCCAGTTTATTGCAAAGACCACCAAAATATCTTCAGATTTCCTAAGTATTTCAAATCTGTTGTGCTGAAGTAGTCATTGATTGGTTGTCCACAAGATGGGGCTTCTACAACAGAGATCTTTGTATCCAAATTTAAGATTCGGATGTAAAAGCTATGAATGGCATCACAGTTGACAAGAACATATTTTCAAATTTTGGCACAGGAATGGTCCTCACAAAAGGAACTGCACTCCTCATTTCTTGTGTAAAAACGATAATCCCTCAGGAAATCAAAACAGCAGCAAGTGATTTTATCTTGTCCCTAACCCTTGCACTGTACTGGTGTACAGCTTGTAAGTCAGAGGCAATATGCACATTACAATCAGCCCGTGGCTGGCACAGATTCTGTGTGGTCACCTACACCTACACGAGGTTTTGTGGAACTGTGCACAGACCAAAACACCAAATGAAGTGCATGTGGCTTTGAGATGTTTTCTAAGTCAATATATAGCCTAACAGTTGAATTTCTAAAACAGTGTGCAAGTCCTCTGTTAAGATGATAACACTCCCAAATGAAAGTTAGAGAAAGTAACTCCATGGAGTGTGTAATTTCCATAAACTTCCTATAAACTGAAAGAGGGAACAGTTTGCTGTTAACTAACTGTAGGCATGCCCTTCAAAATAAATTAAAAGAAAAATATTCTTAGACACAAAAATTTTGAAACATTAAAAAAATAGCAATAGACTTACATTACCTTCAGCTGTCTTGTTTCACTGTGTGGGAAGTGTTTGTTTAAACAGTATGTTTAAAAAAAGGCCTCTTTCCTCTTTTGTCATGTAAGTAAACAATCAAGATTTTAATGTCTTATAGGAATCTCCCAACCAAAACCAGGACAGACTAAGAGATTGTACAATTACCTTCTTGTATTCCTTGTCATAGTATTAGAGACATCAGGCAGACTTAATTTATGATCATTCCTGTTTTCTGCATGATGTAGTTGTTTTCTAGAATTTTTTGCAGGAAAGACAGTATTCCATCAAACCACAGAAGTGTTCGGGCATGCAAAAGCAAACACTGGTACAAATTTCCAGCCTGTCCCTCCCAGAGGAGGCTGTACCCACACAGACTAATGAAAAAATAAAACTGAATGTTAAGAAGAAGAAACATTTCTGGCCAGAAGGTAAAGCTGATTTCCCAGAGGCAGTCATTCACAATCACCTAATACTTTTAGTACAAAATCTTCAATGGTTCCTTCTCACATTCCTTCTGTTCAGTCTCCAGTAACTTGTCTGCTGCAGTTCAGCTGCCTAAGCTGTCACAGACCAGACTTTCAACAGGAAGTACAAAACAGCACCCTTCAGAATAATCATCTGGAGAAGCATAAAATAAGAAAATCTGAGTAGGCAGGAATTACACAGAGAAGGATAGGGAGTGACAGGCTCTCCAAACTGCAGTCAATGATGTATTATGAAAAAGGAAGGACACTAAGTTTGATAAACGGCCTTTTTGCACACACTAAATAATACTCTCTTTACTCAATGCTGAGGTTTTAACTGGAATACTCTGTCCAGCTTGGGATGCCACACTTACTGGAAAAGTGGACCAAAGAAAGAGTCTGCAGGACTCTTGAAACATATGGGAGATTTACAAATCACGATCCATAAGGAAAGACTGAAACAAAGCACCATAACAGTCTTCAGGGATTTAAAATTTCTGTAACAATATCAACAGGACACATAATGAAGAGTTTGACTTGTAGCAAGCTTACATATGAGGAGAAAATGTGAAACTGGAAGGGATTAGAACACAGTACCTGTAGCCATCATTCAGTATCCAAACAGTTTCAACGGTTTTCTGTCAAGGAATGATGAAGATGTAGATGATCTTGGGCTGGACAGAGTTGTCTGCCAGAGGGTCACACTCCATAGGTTCTCATGAATCCTTCCATGCATCATTTGATCACTCTGTTATTGCAGAAGATCTATAGCAGCTACTTACAGATAGAAAACAGATTTTAGGCTACAGGAAAAATAGTGAAAATCAGAGAAACAGGAAAACTTAGGAGAAGGTGAACAAGAGGTGTTTTAAAGTTGTGCAGCAGAATATATATTCAACTTGGACAAGGGATAAATTCTCCAATTCTGCTTCAAAGAGATAAAAGAATTTTGGGTACTACCTTACTGTTGCAGCAACCTGAAGGCCTTGTGAGGAATAAAAATTCTCAAAGATAAATGTCAAATTCAGATGAAACAGTATCATGTTCAACTTCATACCTCTCAGCAGTTGAGGTAATTCTGGCTTTTAGACCTGCTACTTCAAATATCTATCTTTTCCCACACCTTGGGCAGAATATCCCTGAAGCTGCAGTGACAGTACCTGATGACTAACAAACTGGCCACTGGTGAACTCTGGCTAGAGCTTGTTCCTTGCAGGTTCAGGAAGTACTTACACACAGCAAAAAGTGAAGACAGACCAACACTTCAAATAAAATTTAAAAATGAATTAAAATTTAAAAGATTAGTTAAACCACAGATTTCTGTGTATTGACTATCCACTACCTGTTGAATGCCAGCCCATTATTCGAGTCCCAAAGCCTGTCAGGAGGACATGTCAGCAAGTCACACACTGGCTCAAACACAACAGTTATCCTGCAGAGCTTGTGATTTCTTAGTATTCTGCTATTGGAAATGTCACCACTCATTCCATTTTCCCGATTTTTTACCTAATTTTTTCTTACTGGCATTTTCTAAGGGCATAAGAAAGAGTAAGAATCAAAACAACACAGCAATAAAGCATCTGTTGTAAATCACCTGAGAGAAACAAAACACTATAAACCAGCCAGGAACCTTTTGGGGTTATCTCCACATAATCTACTGCAACTAAAACCATTCCTGAGACACGTGACTTAATCGGCCTTTCAAAGCCTTCAGTAAACGAGATTCCCAGATAATCATTTTCGGTGCCAAACTACTTTTGCAGTTTGAATTAATTTCCTAATGTCTACCTTAAATTTCCTACTCCAATTCCATCACCTCTTGCGCTAGACTCACTGAACATAAAGAAATACTTTTTCCTTCTCTCTGCAGAGAAACATTTTACATTTTGGAAGATCATTACTGTTTTTCCCAACACTTTCATTTTCTTTAAACTAAACAACCCCAATTCTTTCAGCCTTTCCTCTTAGATCATGTTTTATAGGTCTCTGATCATTCTTGAAGTTGAGACTGTGGTAACACACGGTACACAGAGAAAAAGGAAAATGAACTCCTACACAAAATTCACCAGGAAGCTGGGTGACAGAGGGTTTGTTTGAAGAGGTTACTTTTTTATGATGACTGTTTGCTTTGTTGTTTGGGTTTTTTTAGTGCCAAAATACATGTCCTTTTTCTTCTTTGTGATGTACAGTGTAGGTGCCCCAGTGCACAGAATAGCTAGGCATTATACTCCTTGCTGAAAAAAACCATGCTGGATCTGGGCAAAAGAGTTATTATGGAAGGCAAGTTATTTTTGCCAATAATGGAAAACTTATCCTTACCAAGATAGCATCTTCAGGATAAATTAATTTAAGTGGTACCTGCAATACCAGGATAATTTAAGCAGAAGTTTAAGTAATTTTCAGAAACATGAGCAAAATCCTGCATCACAACATGCATTTCAGGGAAATATATTAGTTCCATAATTGCTTTCTAGAGCTGCATTCATTCTCCCGCAGAAAACAATATAGAGTTGTAATATATACTGAGAAATGGCTCTATGGCTCAGCTAAAATGAACAAAACTAAAAACAATCATGTGTATTTTAGAAGATGCTATGTTCTTTATAATAAGATAAATTAATTCCATCATTCCCATAATCCAATTCACATATATAATAGAAGAATGTAATTTAATTCCATTCTTCAGAGGTATACAAGGTCTTTTTTTTTTCCAGAAAAAGGTTTTAAAATAGTACTGTGTCCCACTAACATTACCTGAGCAAACAGAGCTATCTCTGAACCTCTGGGTACTATGGCATGGAGAGATCACTCAGAAGTTAACTGGCCTTCTGTATATGAATTGGGAAAACAATCTTATCCAGGAGAAAGATAAGACATAATAAGAGACTATAAGTGCCAGGAAAATAAGCTTGATGGAAAAGAAGTGAAAAAACTTTTCCATGCTGAGGACAGAAAAGGTCTTTCAAAAACTTTTACTGAGCATGACACATTAAATATATCCAAAATGTTGTCCAACAATAACATGACAATGGATCATGTAAAATGATGTCATTAAACGGTCTTTTATCTATAAATTAGGCAATTTATGATGCCAGTTTTGCAGAGAAACTATTGGGGTTTTACGTTCTCAGTGGATTTTAGATTTTTAACTCGAAAGGGATTACTTAGTAAGATAGTTCCTCATCTCTGGCTAGCTCATACAAGCCTTAGGAATACAGCGTTATGTAACTTGTCTCTCCTCATATCAAAAACCTACAAAATAAAACAAACTTTGCCTGCATACTTTAAAAACATTTTTCTTGAATTTCCATTTTGTTTTGAAAAACAGATTTCACTTAGAAGACGCTGGCTGCCAAAAAGTGGTTACAACTGACCTATGCATGACATTGCCATACCGAGGTGTACCAGAACATGAACTCTGTACGCTGGCAAATTTCAGACTATCCCCATTTCTATTCTGACAACAGATTACAGCCAACTGTTTAAATGTTTACAGGTGAGAAAAAGTTTCATTGACTTAGGTTGCCAGGTTGATATTAGTTTGACACAAATTTTTGTATTTGCCTTCATCTTTTCTACGTGTAGTATCTATGCAGCCCTTCACCACTACATGAATCTTTCCTCCTTTATAGGATCATTTTATGGTTCTAGAAAACCCAGTCTGATAACTACTTGTTCCCCAAACTAAGGAGAGGAAGTAAAAACCAGAGAGAACTGAAGCAATCAGTTAAACTGTCCCATGGTTCCGCTAGAACAAAGAAACTGTGCTCATAAATCACATCCTCTGATAAAAAAAAAAAAACAACCATACAGACTACTTGTGAGCTTCCAAATCTGTATGGAACAAGGACCTCCTGCAGCATGGACAGCTCATAAACCAGGATCTGTTTTGGTTTGGCCTATACTCTGTTTGGTCCACAGTCACCTCTACTGTTCTGCACATGCAAGGATCTGTATCTGTTTCCACAAAAGCAGATCCTTCTGAACAGCCTCTGTGCTTACCAATATTATCTACAAAGAGCAGGTACAGTGAAGTCTGCCAGGTCTGTTCAATCTCCTTCAACTTAGGAATGGTGAAAACATCTCATGTGTTCTCTGGACAAAAGACTCTCATCAACTGCTTACTGAGCAATAAGGAAAACTGACCTCTACCTTGACAAGCTCTTCAGCTGCTTTCTTGTCCCCAGCCTGCAAAAGAGGGTATCAAAAGGAGTAGGCTCACAGCCACACCATAGCATACACAGGGATATTTAAAAACAATATTTGTGAACGCAAGAATGTTTCCATTTTCCATTTTCCGGATAGCTGTACAACTTTTGAGCTGGTGATGCAAAACCATTATTAACAACCTACCTGACATAACAGGAGTGAACGGCCTAGAAAACCAGTGGTTTCAACCATCCCTGCTTCCAAGAATCCAGGCATGACTGGTAGTAGCTCTTTCTCATTCAGAGCTCTCACAGGTGCAGTCTGTTGTATTGCAAAGACAAATGTGAACTGCTGCTTCCTCCTTGGTCTCTGTGAGTCCGCCATGAAAAGAAAATCTCTTCTGGAACTTAACAAGTCTGCAGTTTTTAAATGTGCCCAGATTTCGAGTAAACACCCTGTACCTACCAATGGGAAAGTTTTAACTGGGTTTAGCAGTTATTCCTTTTGGAGATCTGCCTAAAGGTAAATAAATGCAACGTCTATACCATGGGACCCAGAGCATATCCCATCTATGTCCTGACTGTGTATTAGGATGAGACCAGGGACCTATGTTTGCACTCTGGTTTCCAAAGAAAGGAAATCTCGGCATGTCAGCCAGCAGGGAGGCACCATATGCTCCCACAGGACCTCCTCAGATCAGGACTCCAAGCCACAGTGTGGCACATGCCTGTGGTCTACACTGAGCTACACCAATGACACAGGCCAAAGCCTCACAGAGAGAACAAAATATGAAATGTCATCTGAAATAAAGAAGTCTTTCTAGTTGCCCATAATCTCATTCCCAGTGTTGCCACTGCACAACTGAAAATACAACTGAAAATAGCGCTGGATTTTCACCACCAGGTTCTCACAGCAAACACTTCTGACATTGCCTTAACCTTGAAACCAGGACTGGGTGAGGCTGAATCCTCTCCAACAACTGCTTGCCCAATTCTGTTAAACCAAGCCAGCAGACTCATAGGATAAACACGCAAATGAGCAAGTCATGTAAAACAGTCATTATTTACAGCAACGTGCCATTGCAAAGCCTCTTTATCTTGAGCAACATTCACAATTCCTGCACCATTTTCAGTTTCAGTTTCCTAGAAAAGCCTGAAACTGTGTTGGAACACCATAAATGGAAGCAGTGACAGATTTTGCACTGTGGTTGTTTAGCTAATCCGTTGATAAGCAGCAAAACAAAACTCCCTAAACAGCAAGAAAATGAAATCTCCAAGAAAGAACTTATACGGATAATCAGCAAAAAGTCTGTTCCCAGACTGACGTCCACCAGCAAAGACTGTGGAGCCAAACTCGTCACTGTGAGTAGATACTCTGACCCAGACAGGAGGTCTGGTGCAAAGCAGGGCTGACCTGTATCAGCAGAGAACTTGCTGATAAGAAGCAGCCACACCGTACAGCTTTACAGACAGAACTTTCCAGCTGGTCTGTAATAAATTTGCCTCACTTTAAAAAATACTTCAGTTTAAAAAACAGATTTTAAAATATTTCCCATGGCATGGATCTGGAAACCAAAGAGGGATTTTGAAGAACCATCACAGATTATAAAGCTGGAAAGAACATTTATAGGATCATCCTATAAGGCAGTGCCATTCCCCTCTGTGTGGGTCAGGGCTGGCACACCAACAGTGACATAGGGGCATTTGCTTTCCTGAAACGAGCATTTATCTGTACTTACCTATATTTATATGCAAGTGTAAATACTTTTTTTCAGAAAGAAAAGGAGCTAAATACATGGTTTATATTAGTATCTGCTAATCACGTAAAAAGCCTCTAGAAACGTAAAAGCGAGACAAGTGACAGCCGCTGGTTTTGCTCCACATTGGGGCTCAGTGCTCTGTCCCTACACTGGCCTGTGCCCACTGGGGTCACGCCAGCGATCAGCACAGGGATTCCCTGCCCGGGAACCCACTCGCGGGAGAACCCTAGGGAAGGTCCCTCGGCCTCGCACAACCCACCCCCAGCCGAGGCGGGCCGGGTGGTGCGGGAGGTCCCCGCGGCCGCCACGGAGGAGCCGCCCCGCTCCGCCTCGTCCTGTGTTTTCCCGTCCTGTCCCGTCCCGCCGGGCCCGAGCGGCCGCTGGCTCCGCCATGGCCGGAACACAAACAAACACCGCGCTCGGGGGCGGGGCGAAGCGGCTCCCACCATTTTGGGGCCGGGGGAGCCCAGCGGGCGGCCGGGTTCCCTCACTCCCCTCCCGCCTCGTCCCGCCGGGGGCGGGCAGGGTTGTCCCCGCCGGGGGCCGGGCGGGGGGCGCGGAGCGGAGCGGGGGCCCCGCGGCTGCTCCCGGGGCCCGGCGGGGAGGGGTGAGAGGAGGAGCCAGGGCGGCCCGTGCGACAAAGCCCAGTGCGCAGGGAGCTGGTGACCGGGAAGCAGAACCGCGCCGAGCTGTCGCGGGGCGGGCGGACCCTCTGGAGCCCGCTGCCCCACGGGGGGTGGGAGGCCCGTCCTGCCGCCCCCCCGGCTCGGGGGTCGGGGCGGCTGCGGAGCGGAGCGGGAGGCGGCCGAGCGGTGCTGCTAAGCCGCTTAGGGCCGGGGCTGGCATGAGCCTCCCCGGCGGGGCGGCTGCGGGCTGTGCGCTGCGGCGGGGAGGCTGAGGGCGCGGATCCGCCGCCGCCGCCGGCGCGGGGGGAGGCGGAGGGGAGGCCGCGCTCCCCGGGGGAAGATGGGGAACTGCCTCAAGTCCCCCACCTCGGATGACATCTCGCTGCTCCACGAGTCCCAGTCGGACCGAGCCAGCTACGGGGACGGGGCTGAGCCGGATCAGGAGCCGCCGCCGCCATATCAGGTAGGGCAGGGAGCGGGGCGGGGGTGCCGGGGCACGGCGGGGGGCGCGGGGCCGCTCTCCCCCGGCGGGGGCTGAACCGCGGCGCAGCGGGGCCGTCGTCTACTCGCCGCTTCCCCTCCAGCGCTGGGCGGCCCGAACCTCTCCCTTTCCGCCCGCACGTAGCGCGGGGGAAGGCGCTTTGTCTCGGCCGCTCCGGCCGCTCCGGGCGGGCGGGAGGCGCAGGGCAGGGGCCGCCCGGCCGGGGCCGCGTCCTTTGTTGCCGCCGGCGGTGACATCACCGTCTGGCGCGGGGGACGCCCCGGGACGGGACCGCGGGCCCTGCCCGGGCTTTGTCCGGGCCCGCTCGCTCCGCTCCCGTATTTTTAGCTGCATCTGATCCCCAGTAACTCACTCCCCCAACGCCGGGGATCTTGTTTCCCTCCGTCCTGCGGAGCACGGGAGGGGAAGTGTTTCCCATTGTTCGGGTTTTTTTTTTGTCTCAGAGAGAATCTGTTAATTTACATCTTAGTGACGAATCAGGGAGAAAGAAGAGAAAGGCCGGGTATCTGCTTTGATGGCTTTGCTGACAGCTGAGGGTAACGCTGATGTGGAGGGGGGATGGCGTTGGTGTGAAAGCGCCTGGAAGGGATGGACACGGAGAGGGAACCTGAACTTGGGATTGCACTTGTCTGCTCCCTTTGATCTCCACCTACAGAAATGTGTATTGACCTGAACGAGCCGTCTACAGCACTGAAAAATGAAAACCATCCCGTGATATAACTGCACATTCTGTTCGAGTTTTGAGAAGTATTTTCCTGTGTGGGATAATAGCTCACATTCCAGAGAAATCCATAGAAACGACAGTCAAGACGCAAATTCTGGGGGGTGACTCGGGAGCTGTACGTTTTCTAGGATGGGAGTCACTCCGTAGTTGCAGACCCTGATGTATAATTAACAAAATTGCAGGAAGTATTTAGCCGGACAGATGTGATACTTCAGCAAGTTCAAGAATTACACCCTGATAGGAGCCCCGTAAGTGTTGAAGAGAAGCCCGACATGTAGCAGCCCTTGCCGGTGCCCTGAAGCTGCGCTGGTGTGTCTTGGCAGTGTGTCCCTATTTGTTTTGTGCTGAATATTAGAATAAATTCTGTGATGTGAGGAATTTTTTTCTCTCTTCTAAACTGCTGCTGCTGAAGTCCAGTGAATAAAAAGTGCTTGCTGGCAGATATAAGTTTTTTTTAAAGCTTATGTGGTTCTAAATTACGCCTGAATTGTCCATGAGGTTTAGGAATGCACTGAATTTTTGTCAAATCAGCATAAAAGTTTGCACAATTTATTGCATGTATATCTGTGATTCTAGGAAGACTTATGGAGTTTTTTGGTTTTTTTCTCCCTTTGAAAACAATTTGTTAGCTCTTGTAAGAGTCACAAATCAAGCATATGCCTTATGCAGGCCTTCTTGTGTGGATGTCAGTGTAGGTAATGAATCTTCCTCTATCGTCAGAGGTTTTTAAAATTTTTTCTTGATGAAGAACTTGTTCATAAGTGTGGATGGTTGACTGAGAACACGATAAAGAGTAAAATAAATGAACCTGCAGGTGTCTACTCTCGAGTAAGTGTATTCATAGCAAAACTTCCCTCACTTGAATAGAGCTGTGTAGCATCAGGTGATGTGCCCACAGGCACTTGCTGTCTCAGACATTGCTGGCTGTCTTGAAAGCTCCTCCACTGATCCTAGCAGTTCCTAAAGCTTTACCTTAAAGGTAGCCTTTCGTGTCTCACAGTCAAAGCCAAAGGTACCCTTTCCACAGATTTTTGAACCACCATGGTTAGTGATTTTTAAAAAAAAGAAGAAAAAAAGAACCTACAGTATTATGCAGTGTTTCATGCACTTTGAGTTTGAGGGGATTTATGATTTTAAATTGTTTACTGTTTACACAATGTGCAAAAACTCCAAATATGAAAAATTCCTGATGCTCCATCATTGCTGTGGTGCTAGCCATAGGTCACTCATTTTTACTTTCAAGTGGCAGCTTAGATTCAGTGTTAGAAATGGGAATTTAGGAGTTTTGTCCTTGTTTTGGATAGTCGGTGCTTTTACAGTGTCTTATCCAGAATTAGTGTATAATATATAGACATTAGGAGTGAAAGGAAGGAAGAGTATAAAACAAATTTGAAAACTTGCTTGTGGTAACTAGCCTCAAGAAACTGGAAGGTGAACAGTTTTAAAGCTGGCTGCTGAAAAGTCTGCTGTAAAATGGACATCATTTAGAAGGGACTAAAAACTGGTATGTTTGCTTCTCTTGGGTTTGCAGCAAGGATGTGTCAACTTCCTGAATAGCTCTTGCAGGGTTTGCAAACTAAAGGAGACTTGTTGGGTGAAGAAACACAGTTGTAGAAGATGGCTTCTGTGTCTCTTGTAACTAACTTCTGTATTATTTTGACATTTAAAATACTTTTTCACGTCCTGCCATGATTTTTATTTAGCTGCTGATTTCCAGCTGCAAAATGCACCCTCAATAATACTTTCAGTACTGCATGTCAAATTTCTTTAATCAGTGAGTGCTGTTGAACTGGCTGTGTAAAATTCCTGCTTCCAAAAGTGAGATAGAAGATTAGACTGACAGTATGGATACACAGAATAACGGAGAATAACTTCTTTTTGGAGGCTCTGCCAATACCTGTCTCTTGGTTTCTGTGGCAGTACGTGTTATAAGCTACAGCAGAAATGCCTCAGAGAGGAAGCATCTTTTTAAACAGGTGTCTGAGTTAATGAGAAAGTGGCCCATTAATGCATCAGATATTTTCCAGTGCATTGAGCTTAACAGCTAACATGGGAAATAATTAAAACACACCAAAAAAGTGTGTTTTTATGGTGGGGGGGGAAAGGAAGTGATTTCAAGAGTGGACCAACATTTTCGTAGACGGTTGCTAATTTTGAATGCCTCCATTTTAGAACCCAAAAATTACAACTGTTTTTCTAAGTGCTAAGAACGTGAAGCTCCATTTTTAACCAGTGAATCTGTGATTAGGAAAGAGTTAGCTTTGGTTTTATTTTTTCTCAAGTCGTCAAAATTGAGTATGCTTTCAAGTTTTTTTTTCCTTTTTAGTGTATGAGTTCTTCACCATCTGTTGGCAATATGCCTTCTGCTGTTTTTCCATACAAGTTTAATGTTTTTTCCTAGTTTCTCTTACTTTTAGTAGTTCTTCTCAAAGGCTTTATTTTGCAGAACAGATGTGTCCCTTTTCTTAATCCTTGTCTCCGGTTTCTGTTCTTAAATAGTTCCCTAATAGCTGCAGGAAATAATTTGCCAGTTTATTACATTTTGAAATTTTTACACAGTAAAGTAGATGCATTACATCTTTTCTCCCGAAGTTTCTAAAACTGTGGACAAAATACACTGCAGTCTTCTAAAAAAATGTTTAGCACTTGCTAAATTAATAAGTTGACAGCATGAGAGATAAGCACAAGTTCTTGGTGTTGATACTAAACTCATAAAAGCACATTTGATATGTTGATGTGGCAGATAGATTCATAATATATTTTTTACCCCTTTACCTGAAGAGATAGAGAGCACCCCCCTTACTCAGTACTTCCCTGTGTTTTACAGGCTCAGATAAAATGCTTCAGTGGATCTAGTGGATTTTTTTTTTTTTTATTTGGAGGGATTAATTTAAAACCTTTTGGCCTGGATACTCATTTGATTAGGCTGTAGGCACAAAATGAGACGAGAGATCACAAACATGAGCTTAACCCAGTGCTGTGCTCCCATAATCTTCCAAAAGCTGTTGGGGACAGCAGGTTTTGAAAGCGCAATTTAGGGATGTCTCATGGCTTCTCTGCAACTGAGGTTGCTGGAATAGCCTCCCTGTGCCTCCTCTGTTAACTGAGTGTCACCTGAACACATTGTACGTGTGTCCCCATTCACCTGTCTTGTGCTTCATTGCAGCTGTCCCCCATTCGGGGAGGTGGCACATCGGCCTGTCATGACAGTGCTCTGGAGATGCTGAAGAAGTCCTCGGTTTGAATAGTCAGAGAATTTCCTTGAAATAGTCCACTGCATTTCTGTGTGAAACTTGCCCTGTGGATGGATGTATTGGTTGTCTTTTGCTCAACAGAGAAGCTTTTGTTATGCTCTCATCGCGACTTAAGTAATATGTTACATCGGTGTTCTGATGCTGTCTTTTCAAAGGCATGGTAATTAATATAATTAAAAGTTGCGAGCCAGATTAATTCTGATCTAGGAGTTGCACCCATTTATAGAAACATCTGTACAAAAATTCTCTTGGGCCCCAGCTGAGATGATTTATCGTCTGTGATTGTGTGTATTGTATAAGAAGCAAGACTGTGGTAGTGTAAAGTTACAGTCTTGACATGGAGTGGTTGTGTGAAGCTGGAACTGTTAGTGTATGTTGGAACAGCATAAAAGGGGGAAAGATGCCATGGGAAAACATTACATACAGAAAGATATCCATGAAAAAAAGCAAACCCACTTGTAAGTTTACGTTCATAGAAGTGAAAGGAGTGTATTTTAAAATTGTCTGTGCAGGTCTTGCCCTTTTTTCTGCTTATCCTCCACATCTTGCTGATGACATGTATGAATTACAGTTGCATTTGTGGACGTGAACTGAAATACCACTCCAGTCCACAGTTCCTTAATCTGGTGGAAACTTCAAAGGGCTTCAAAGGAGAATGTGTCTTTGTTGGTGTGTTGCTGGCTGGTGCCTTCTGGCAGAAGTCCCTGGTGGAGATCAGCTTCAGTGAGGAGAGAAAGTGATGGAGGAGCTGAAGTTGAGAGTTTGCTGCATGGATAAGAAATGGTAGAGTAAGCCAGGGATGTTTTGTGCTTCTCGTCAAGGATATGATTGCTTAAACGACCTTATATAACTCATTCTCAAAAATGAACAAGTGCTATAGTAGTGTTCTGGAATAATATTTCTACCTGTGAAAGACCAAGCACTAAGGGATAAAGTCACTCTTGATAAATAGTTAGGATACAATTTGCACACCTGCATTCAGA